GAAGAAATAAAAAAAAAAGGTATTAGCAATCCGAAAATGCTCAAAACCCAAAACTCCTTCGGACCTACCTTGAGCTAAAGGCTTATAAAAATCACATCTCCCCAAAACTTTCCACAAAATATGCCAAATACCATTTCTGTTGGGCCACTAAAGGCGGGAAAATTTTCCCAAACGCAGCCTTAGCAAGCCTATCTCGAGGGGCCAACTTAATTTAAAACAACCAACCGCTTAACATATTCTATCGTAAACGTAGATATTTCACGTTATATTTTCGGTCTTGCATATGTGGGTTGATTTACGGGGAGGTTAAGTATGTTGGTTTTTCCGATCTTTGTAACCATTTAATCATGTGTTCTGCCTAAAGGACAGGCATTTTCATGCAATCACCACGTCATGCCAAACGAGGCTACAAAATCGTAAACACAATAGAAAAAACTCAAGTAAAATTGGAACCCTAAATAGCAGGTATCTTCATTATAATTTGGGGTTATAAAGTTCTTCTGAGGTCAAGTCTGATGGCTCAAAACAGTGTCGGCAAGAAACCCTACAAAATGACGAGATCGATACATACGTTATGCTATGGCAAAGGGGAAGAAGGAAAAAAGAAGAAAAGAGAGAAGCAAATCAAGAATTTGAGTGGGGTCAACTTGGCCCAACTCAGCGAGAGGCCTAAATCGATTTGCAATGTCATTGACTTTAGGACCACGGAATCATTTGATTTGATATACCAAAGTTTTCACGAAACAAAAAATTGCGAACTACGTCAAGACGTTCTGCTATTCAGCTTCACCAGCAAAGCCACGATCCACAGTCTTGTTCTATGAACCGTAGATTGTGGCAGCACGTCATATATTAAAAAGCAGATTAACGTCCTTTTAACTTGCAAGACAAGCTACTTTTTATCTATATATAGTCACTCCTGATTGGTATAACCCACGTGGTAAATGCATGCAATACGAGGCTTCACGTTGCGCAGTGTGCATGAACCTCGTAAGCCTATCGATATCTATGGAAACCCTAGATATCTACCATACGGACGAGAATTTTGACCCAACCTCGAATCTAATTACTTTACTTTTCGTGGCACTTAGATTTTCAGATTTCATCACCCCTATTCGAGCCTCGTTCGCGTGCTTTTATGTCCGAGTATGCGACCGCAGAGCGATGTCGATCGCTTTCCAATCGCCTGGAGTATGATCGCCTTGACGAAGGTTAATTTTCGTCGCCTCTTTTTTGTCACACCCCCAACAAATCCATTTTCTCCAACAGCTGGAAAATTGAATATAGACTGATGGATAGCTTTTTCCTAGTGGAACTAAGGTTCTACTAAAGATATGCGATTTAGGGTCTACATATATAGAAGATTAGAAGCAAACAATTAATACGTTCATTCAATAGGATTTGAGCACAAGTCAAATTCAATTTTCTTGGGCATGTGATGGAAGCATAGGGATTAGGTTGCTCAAATTGTGAATGGTGCGAAAATCAGATGCATAGAACGTGGTTCGGAAGAAGGTATACATAAGTGGTGATGACATGTAACGTAATCAATCTATTAAAATGAGGAATTCCAAATTTTAAGCACCGCATAAGATAACAAGTATATCACGTGGAAAAATTGGTCACACCATGCTTGTTTTCCATGTGACTGACGCATGAAATATTTTTCCGTGGTCAGCGGTTTGAGTTTGAGACCAATGGCTAAACCATGGAAACGGTTGAGAGTTAGTTTATCTGTTTTTCTTCGATGTTTTATTCATTTTTCAAGGAGCATGTTATATCATGTTGCCTTCAAACATGACGTAATGAGTTTGAGTCCTCCTCGTATAAGCAGTAGATGTGCATACATTGTTCACGAATTAATTGCGGGAACCGGCTTTGACAAAAGGGCCAAAGTCGAACATGAAAAGCACGAATCTGACTTGGGTTGAAGTCTCGACCAATAAGAGCGGAAAAACTGTAGGCCTTTCGCATTCGGCGAAAAAACTTGGTTTCCATAAGTAGGTTTTAACCCGATTTCTTTAAAACCTATTGGAGATTAGGTAGTATAAATATCTAAGTAGTATGCTGACGACTAAGTTAGATCAGTCACAATCAAGGAAAATTGAATCGGAGAGTAAACTGACATTCGATTCAACTGGCCTGTCCGGTTAGATTTTGAGAACAGCAGTACCATCTAACGATAAGGACGAGAGGGAAAAACCTGAATATGAATAAGTGCAATCATCACTCGATCGAGGGTCTATGCGACATTTGGAGAGTTAAATCGCCGGGAAGCACGCGAAGAAGCCGAGCTTTTAGTTTTAGAACTATTAAAATTGCCGGACAACATCAGTCGCCAATAACACACAGAAATATCACACGGGACGTCACATGTACGAATGCATAAACTGTTTAAGTCAGTTGGCAAGGGAACAATCTCCAACTACTCGAAGGAAAAGCCATGGTAATGGCGTTCGAGCGTAGAAAGTTTGAGCACGTCTCGTTTGGTTTTTTCTTTCCCCCTACTTATTATTACAACGTGTGGAAGCTCTCGAAATTCTTCTTTTTCTCCGGCTCGTTGGCCACGAGCTGCAGCGGCACTCCTCTACCCGACCCAACAGCGGGCCCCCACCAACGACTCGTGCCCCTCTCGATCACTCGCCACGTCACTGGGACGATGTGCACGGAGCGGTAGCAGATTCGTTTGTTCTCAGGTTTTGGTGGAGAAGTCTGCTGTCTGAATCCGAGGCAACATCAGGCTGTTAGGTTGGCTCAAAGAGCAAGGAAAAAGTCATTTTCGAGGAGTCTTTGCCCCAAGTAAGAAGTCGGCAACGATGAAGATGACCGGGGGAACACCGTAATTCAAGCTGAAAATACAGTACAATTATCTAATCTGCTTCGCGCCTTAATCGTCTCATGCAAAGCTATGCCGGGCCTACGGTCCATTTCGATGCTAGCTGCTGCTTCTTTTGTCTTCAAGCTACGTCTTTTGGGGTAGATGATAGGTTAGATTACACTAATTCACTTGAGGTTTTAAGTGAAAGATTTGTCCGGTTGGAAGACAGAGTTGCTCGAGCCGGCGTTCCCGTTCGAAGGGCAACGTCGAAGTATGGCGCGGAACGAGTAGGTGTGACTGTCGACCTCTATTGTGGGGAGCTCAGTGGAGTCGGTTATAGTGATCCCGCTACCTTCCCGCATCAAGCTCATTCGCATCAATAGCTCACTATCCACGGACATTGATGGGGTTTGGAGTTGAACTTTCTCCTCGAGATATGATATCAATGCTCTGTTATCGTATGGTTTTGATTGTTGGCCCTTGTATTTTGTACCACTGTTTAGCGAATATTGTGAGAAGCTCATCCAATTGCGGTTATAGTGAGAAGCGAGTAGGAGTTGCAATTCATAACTACATGGTGGATCTTCAAGTTGAGATATACGCTAAGACGGAAGGATATTACCCGAGTTGAGGTGGAATAAGCCTAATACAGGAGGCTCACACGTGAGGGAATGATTTATCGAGAGACGCCAGGAAAGTGCTAAGAAGGAATGGCACCTTGGACATATGAGCTGTCTAAGTATGTATAGTGGTAAAAAAATTAGGGCAGACTCGATTAAACCTCATGCCAAAATTCTTCCAAGTTATATGAGCTGTCTTATAGACTATATCATATAGATTCAATGGACATATTCTAGTACAACTCCACTTTGAAAACTCGCAGTTGTTGTGGTCATAAAGTCTCGTAAGGAACATGTGTACATGTATAAAGTCAGGATTAGGATGATACCTTTGAAATGCTGTTTTGAAAAAAGATGCATGGCGATCCATCTTTTTCAAATTCTTCTGCTCTATCTTCTGCTCTGCTTGGCCACTCCCAGACAATTTTACAGATTATTCAAAACCAGAATTACTGTGGCAGCATCACCTTTTGAGACCCAACTCGATCGGTTCATCGTTTTTGCGTGTGATTGATAGGGAAATTCTTGCCTAATTTGATGGGCATGGGGAGAGCAAGTGACCAACGCCTGCTTACTTTGGTTAAGGAGGTCATCATGTGTTGTGCATAAAGTGTCAAACGAGAGACCATTGTTTGTCGGAGTCAAGCCCCTTGAAAGACGTTAAGCCCTCTCTAACGAGATGGGAAGACTTTTCGGGAAGTTGTCTTGGGTTAATTAAGATAAAAGGTATCGAACTATGCCGTACGTGAGGAGTCAAATGATTCCAGTTCTTCCATCAATTAGGTTAAGGATTGCAGACATGAAAACATGCAAAGTACTTTAATCGAATGGTTTCCTCGTGTCTCGGGATATCTTTAAGGATTTTTATCGAGTCTACTGCCATTATAAGAAGCGATATTAATCAATTGATTTCCTCGTATTTCGAGATATCTTTATGGTTTCTACCAGCTAGGTCCATTGCCAATATAAAAAGTGATTTACATATCTACCATTAACGCGGAATTATACTGCGAGTACATATGCCGCTCATTTGACGGAAAATGACAAGTACAAATCTCTAGTGGTTCATTCATTTTTTCTTTTTATTGTTATGTTAGTTCTGTCTTCATGTGTAATCATACAAGCAATACAATTCTTATCACTCGCCATAATTTTAATCCCAAAGTGATCATATGGTACTTACCGTGATAATGAAAAGTTTAAACGATACCGTATGCAAAACTCATTCATAGTGTGAAATGGTATTTTCTATGATCGGGGAAATTGCAACTTTTACTTAGCATCATACCTCGAATAAATGAAGAAAAAGCAGACCATCCGTGCATAGTTTGAGGAGTGAGGAAGGATTAATGGGTTGCTAAATTCATGCTGAATCAATCACACCCTGCAAATAGGGGGAAAAGGGTAAGTTTAACTGTGTTATGAGGTGAAAATTAGAAGCTAAAATCGCCGCAAAGCTGTTTCCAAACTGTAGGTGAAAACTTGTCTTGTGGATCGTTGACGTGCGCATGCTGACACATCGCTCCCATCCATCTCCATGTATGTATATAAGCCCACCACTCTCCTTCATTTCCATCGCACACCTCTCTCCCTCTCTCCCTCTATCTCTCTCTCTCTCTCTCTCTGAAGAAAAGTCTTACGGAGATGGAATACAAGGCGAGAACAACCACAGCAATACCAACACCCGTCACTATTCCCGCTAAAGTCATCCCCTACTCAACATCATCCTCACCTTCCTCACCGCCACCGCAACCACCACCGTCCCAGTCCTCGTCTCCAACCACTCCCCCTCCTCCTCCTCCTCCTTCCCTCCCCTTTACCCCACTGCCGCCGCTGCAGCCGGCGGTCCTCAGCCCATGCGCCGCCTGCAAGATCCTGCGCCGGCGGTGCGTGGACAAGTGCATCTTGGCCCCGTACTTCCCGCCCACCGAGCCTTACAAGTTCACCATTGCTCACAGGGTGTTTGGAGCTAGCAACGTCATCAAGTTCTTGCAGGTATTGCTGTCCATCCATTTCCCCATCTTTCACACTGTTTCTTAGTGTTCCTTATCAGGATCGACGCACTCTCTAATGTGAACGCACCAGAATGCTGTAGGAAAAAAATTGAATTGGTGTGTGCGTGAAGCTTTTTCTTTTAGCAACTTCCCTTTTCTTTTCATTGCCAATAAAAACAAACATTTCTTTTTTTATTTATCTTTCCATTTTCTTTTTGCGGGTTCACAACTTGCCTTTCTAGATAAAGTATACATGACAAGTCAATCGCATTTTAATAAGACGCTCGCACTTTACCTTAGAAAACTAAATTTCTATATTTCGAATTTGGACATTTTCCTAATTTATTAGTGTCACGCGATGCAACATAGCGAAAGAGTTTTAGCGATAGATTTGCATTGACTTAAGATCAAAGTTAGATTACAATTTATTCTAAGCCTTTTAGTCTCGAGGAGATCTTTTATTAGATACATTACAAAATCAATTCTTTTTTCCTCGTGGTACACTCTACGATTATAGATTTCTGTCGGTATTCATGTCCTCAAAGGTGTCTCAGAGAATTTTCAACCAGCTCATTTGACAAAATGTATTATACTTGTAAACTTCCGTGTTAATTAGATTTATAGTTCTTCCATATAATTTTTTTTTCAATTGATCTAATGAAAACTATTGCAGGAACTTCCGGAACCGCAGAGAGCGGACGCGGTGAGCAGCATGGTGTATGAGGCCAACGCGAGGCTCCGAGACCCGGTCTACGGCTGCGCCGGAGCCATCTGCCAGCTCCAGAAGCAAGTGAGCGAGCTCCAGGAGCAGCTCGCCAAGGCTCAGGCCGAGCTCGTCAACCTCGAGCTGCAGCGGGCCAACCTCGTCGCGGCCTGCATGGAGATGGCTCAGTCGCAGGAGCCGGCCATCAATTTCCAGCAGCAATTCGTCGACTCGGCCGGCATCTTGGACGACGGCCCGGCTAGCTGGGAATCGCTCTACTGGACGTGACCGCCGGTGACCCATGAGACTTAGCCTTATAATTACTAATGAGAATGAGCCACAAGAAAAGGAAAAAGCAAGGGAACTTTACCCACGACCAAATGTCAACAAAGTTTACTCCCAGAGAAAGGAAATTAAAGTTCGGGAATTGGTATTCCGATATTGACAAGATGGAAGGACGTGGAGGGGGCGGGAAGGGGTTCTGTCTTTTGCTCTCTGATGAAATTTCCAAGGTCTAGGAATTTTTATTCTATCTTTTCTTGAACGAGAACAAGTTGTTGTGGGTGACCTAATTACAATTATCTTGTCGAATTAATCGGTCATTTTTCTAAAATCAATCGGAGCACAAACACGCTTCCTTGTCAAACTAGTTCTTGACCTAATTGTTGCTTTCCCGATCGCTTTCAGTATTCCTAACTAATTTTGATTTTCCTTTTCATTGCTTTCCCAGTGGATATGACAGGTTGACTATTTCAGTATTGTATGCTTTCTTTTTCCTTTTTTCTTTGTTGTCCTGCCCTATGTATTGTTTAAAAAATAGAACATAAACACTGCTTTTCAATGACTTATTAACCTAAGGTTGGGACACTAAACTTCAACACGGTATCGGATATATAAGTATTGAGTTTCACTAAAGATTCCTCCAAACCTATTATTGTATGGAAGATGTGACAATCGTACTTAAAAAATCTGAATAATGCTAGGGATTTTAGGACCGGTTTATTATGTCAATTATGATATGGGAGATTATAATTGGCCTATTGAGACCCACATACTTAAGTACCTAGACAGTTTGAAATATGACTTAGCAAATTAATTTTATAAAAGATTTTTATATGATACACAGGCTATGCAACTCATTTGTTACGCAAGCCACCTCTGCATAACAAGGTACTAACAGTCTGAATTCATAGAATGATTAAAATCAATGGCTATGGATGTTAATTATATATGAATGCAATTACACAACCCGTATACTCGGAAATCCATCCTTTCGTAGAGGTATTGCACTGTGCACCCATTTATTACGTAACCCATTTGAGAAAATGACACAAATGATCATTAAACTTTAGCCCAATATGCAATGTGATATCTGAATCTTTAATTTGTTCAATGCAATCCTTAGAATTTTGGTACATGTTCAATTTAGTCCATAAACTATATGAAAATGTTTACTACATTACATATTGGGCCAAAGTTTAAGAACCATTTGTGTCATCATTCCGATCTATTTCTATCAAGATACGGAGAATGAGGAGATAATAAGTCACATACAAAATATTATACTACTCTTGACTAAAATACATGATGTCCAGCTCACGGTGGAATAACCTATACCAATCCCAATAGTCAAGATTAGACATATAAAACTTCCAATCAAACGAATATAACCATAGTGTCATTGAGGAATGATTTTGCTGTAAAAGTGTAGCACCACACACTAACCCGAACCGGAAACGCGTTTTGCAACCTAAATTATCCAACAAAAAGTCTCAATCATGCCATGTGCAAACCATGTTTCGAGCCCCTAAGTTCAAATTTACTCTTTTTCAGCAATTTAATTATATTCTAAGCGAACCCAAAGAATATATAAAAAAGAAAAAAGAACATTAGATTCTCCTAAGCTGTCGAAAGGAGCAAACTAAAATTTTCAAGGGTCAAATGCTCAGTGCGAACTGCTCCAACCATACGTTTGCCTTTTCCTGTGTGGAGACAAACATGTCTATTATTGTTATTTTTGAAAGATTCTTTTTATGATATGCTTTTTATTTTGTGAAGTGAAGTCTCTCAAAAGTCATTGTGGAAGTGGAATGGAAACTTATCAAAGTAGAGTCGTGACCCGTCATGGAGGTGCATCAACAGTGGCTAAAATGGTTTGCTGGAACATTCTATTTGGATTTTGGAGTTTCCCCAACCCACTACAATCTTTGGCCACAAACGTGCGAATGTGTTCGCCCACCAAATATTGTTCAAATCGATTATACCAAATCAAAAATTTATTTTCTTACATATTCGTCAAGAGAAGGGTTCAGACGAGATTGAGATCGATCTCACCCACAGCTGAAAATTTCAGTTTAAGTTATCAACGAAGCACTAACGGTCCACTAGACGAGACCGTCATCGTAACTCCACCAGATGTGAGTGGGGAAGTCCGCAGTCAATGATACAACTAAGGCCAAGTGTATCATCAGCAGACAAATCGAGGTCTCTGAAATCGAGAATTAATTGGCGAAGCAAACCTGCAACCTTCGACTTGCAAATCAAATCTTGATCCACTTAACCAACCACTCGTTGGCTTCGCTTTTCGGTTGAAGCTTGATAAAAATTGGCCTTACTTGAACCTATGCTATTCTCAATATGCCTCTTATTATTACCTCATAACTTGAGGATGGACCACAATGATAATGAGTACGCTTTGAGCAATGAATGCATAAAATTGGCCTCATGCCTTATAATGATGTGAACTAAAATTATGAGTGAGAGCTAAAATACAACATCATGTTACAAACACGCGATTGTAAAACTTTATGATACCATAGTCCACTACTTTGAAAAATTGAGTTCAACAAAATGGGTTATAAACCAATTTCTTAACCCATATTTGATGTGCTGGGTTGTTATATGAGTTATCTATTACGTTAATAGGTCATAATGGATTTAAAATGGTGAAATCCAAAATATTATAGGTTTACAACTTAGTTAGAACCAACCCACCTTTACGACTATCTCTTCACTTTCTCTCACCCTCGTTCGACCTCACGCTCGCTCGCTCTCAATTTTAGTATGAGTTTTCCTAAATTAAGTTAATTATAAAAGCGTTTTAGCAATATGGATTGAGTTGGGTATGGGTCAAGTTGGATATCGATCACCATATTTGTATTACATGGAAATGAGTTAAAACGGGTTAAATGAATCAATTTTCAACTTAACCCACCTATTTGACTGGTCTAATCGTGTTCAATCGTCCAGTTATTAGTAAAAAAGTTGGAAAATTTGCATGTCAAGATCCAGCTATTGTTGATTAACATTTTCAGTGATGTAGATACATAGTTGGAATTGACCATATTACGTGGCAGCATATTTATATGGAAAAGTAGTCTTTACGGAATAGCGACAAGCACGTGGACTACCCCGTGAACGTACTTTTCACAAAGTAAAGCACCATCATTTTTCAGGGAAAAGACCTCTTTTATTTTATTTTTTACTTTCCAAGATCCAATTTCGATTGTTCTTTTCATGCACCAGTAAGTTGTGAAGACTTAAAGGGGGGTCTCTTCGTAGGCATACGTTCGGACTGCCGAGCTAAGGTATAACTCAAAATCTTCACGATGAATTGAGATCGACTTGAGTCGTATAATTGAGAATAGATCCCGAACTCGACTCGCTTTGGTTCACACAATTAAAGAATAATGCTTATATGACGGTCCTTAATTTGCTGTGAGATCAACAGCTTGTTTTGGACCATAAAAAAATAATAATTTGAAATTATTGTGAGATCCACTCCTTTAAGAATTTGTGTATCACAATATGTTGTTATTCTCCTGGTAACCCAAAAACTATAATGTTAGCAAAGCCCATATAAGCTATTAGAGATCAACACCACTTTTATTTTCTAGGATTGTAAATTTGTACATGACCTTCTGTTAAAATTTTTTTGCATGTCTTCATTTTACCATTAACTACAATGGACACAAGTCCAAATATTTCGTACAGTAGACCCTTCAAAATTGAATTGGATCAAGAATTCGACAATTGACATATAGTTGACCCCCACTAGTATTGTCCAAAAAGTCCTAAACCTTTTGCACTTTTGCCAATTGAGTCCTAAACCTTTTAATTTTGTCAATTGAGTCTTAAATTTTTTCATTTATTGCCAATTGAGTCATCCGGCCAATTTTGGCCGAAAATCGCTGACATGAACACTGGGCGGCCACGTGGCGTTGACGTGGGCATTTTTATATAATACTTTAATAATTTCTAAATTATTTATGGTTTTTTTCTTCTTCTTTTTTCCTTTTCTCTGTTCTTTTTATGGGTTTTGAATTTAGGGCCTGCGAAGGTGGCCGGCCGACCTTCGCTGGCCACGGGCTAGGCAAGGGCTTGGTGGCCTTCGCCGGGCCTCCGCCCTCACCTGGGGCCGGCAAGGGCATCGCCTAGCCAGATCTGGCGAGGGCCGTGACGCCCTCGCCTAGAGCCGGCAAAGGTTGGCCGACCACCTTCACCAGCCCTAACATCAAAATCCAGAAAAAAAAATAGAGAAAAGGAAAAAAAAGGAAAAACCATAAAAAATTTAGAAATTATTAAAATGTTATATAAAAATGTCCACGTCATGTTAGCGATTTCTAGCCAAAATTGGCTGGATGGACTCAATTGGCAAGAAATGAAAAGGTTTAGGATTCAATTGGCAAAATTAAAAAGTTTAGGACTGAATTGGCAAGAGTGCAATAAGTTTAAGACTTCTTGGACAATTTTTCCCTTAATTTTAGACATCAGAAATGGCCTAGGTATGCCTCAAACCTGTGACCGAGCATTGAGCACGAGCCGGGCGTACTTCACCAGGCTATTTGTGTGACATCTGGAAATTCCTACATCAATTACTAATATGTAGGAAATGAAGACGATAAATGTCACAAGTACAAATCCCAGTTGAATTATTGACTTTATCCTACGCGAAAGCAATATGTATTTACATATCCGTGACTTTCGGAATGTGATTCCATTAGGATGTAATTACTGGGCATTTGTACATAGGTTGATTATATAAAGTGAGGTGAACCACATATTGCCATAGTAATTGTTGAGAGGGATCGACATGCTCTGAAATACTTATCGAATAATTTTCAAAGTTAAAATTCACTAAGTTGAGATTTTCCTAACGTTCGATAGCTTTTGCAGATAATTTCATTGGGTTTAAAATATTTTTCTGACTTATCGGTGTTTAAAACAGGCACCGATTTTCTTGTATCTTTACTGAATTGCAAACTATCTTGACGAAGCATCAATTATCTTCTTTTTAATCACCCAAAGTAAGCCACTTGTCACCCTTTCACTTGAACACTTCTCTTCATTCTAGACCTAGTATTTAACCCAGATGCTTTTTATTGTGCCATTGAACTTAGTCATCAAAATGACGTCACTCATGACATTTTAACTTAACCAAGGTTTGTAGCATTTATTACAAGTAAAGTTAAGAAAAAGAAAATAAAAGAACACCCTCTTCCCCTTTCTTGGTTGAGACATCACTCCCTTCATTTTCCACTTCAAGAATTGCTTCATCTTCCTATCTTCTATAAACAAATCAACTTTTCCCATTTCACAGTTTCAGTCAACCTTCAACTATCCAATTAAGTTGTGATTTTAGCTTAA